ACAAATTCAAACATATGGTACATATATGCACCAGCAGTCTCCTTTGGTGGTACATATGCGTACCTGTAGTCCGGTAAACATAACTTAATTTTTTATCGATTTCATGCAAGATAAGCCAACGATATGCCTCTAAATCCGGTAAGATGGTGTGATGCTGCAACAGGGTATTTAGAAAGAAAATGATATTACTTCGTGTTTCTAATTTGCTAATTTATTGAACTATATTCCTTATTCAGCCGTTGGTACTACATATAATGGGTAACAGAAAAAAACGTACCTAAGTTTACTAGTAAGAAAATGCAAAGAGGAGAAATAAAATTCAAAAGCACATCTGCAGGCCTTCTATACGTTTAGACACGAAAGGGGTTTTATAATAAGGAATTGCCACAAACCAGGCCTAATAATTATGAAAAAACTTTGAAAACAGGCAAGAAAATGCAAGTGCCATGTCCAAACTAAATACAATTTTATCGTCAAATTATGGGAGGTGTTGATTTAGTAGATCAAATGAGTGGCCTGTACGAACATGATCGAAAATTAGAAAAATAGTGGAACAAGGTCTTTTACCGTTTTATAGTGAAAGTAGTAAGAAAAGATTAACAACGACGGTTGAACGAAAAGATGCATCGCAATGTAAGCGAGCCGATGATGTGTAGTTTTGAAGTGACAAACAAAACTAAACTAACTCAAGTATGTTTTATGTTTTTGTTGTTGTAGCGGCTAAAACAACCCGGCCACATCGGTTAATATCTCAGTCGTTGTCGTCAAGTTCCATCAACGGTAGCCCTAAGAAGCGTGAAGCCTCAATAGGGTCGGTCCACAGGGACAAAAGCGTTAGGGTTGTCGTGTTTCCAGGCATACGAAGAGATGTTTCGAGTCATGGGGTGTCTCTCCGCATGCCGGACACTCAATTGTTCTCATTTGTATCTCAACAGCTGGTGTGGCCGAATGGATGCGTGTTCGACTGCCGTATTGTTGGTCACGGGTTCAAAACCTGTGACGCGGACTTTATTTTTAATTTTTATTTTATTTTTTTAATTCTATTTATAGATTCTGCCCACTGGCAAAAGGTAATGTCTGGGAATGCAAAAAGTAATGGATAGCCCCTTTAACCTACCCACGAAAAGATGCAAAAATTTCTCCACAGGGAAGTCATACGAAAGTAATGTGTCGCGTGCCGCTTTACGAAACTATAAATATAATCTATGAATAGAATTTAAAAATATATAAAAATAAAAAATAAAGTTCTGGCCACAGGTCAGAGGTGTTAAAAAATGCAATCATTTTTAACTAAATTATTCATTTGATTGAAGTCCCGAGTGATTGCAGTCCTTTCCGGTTAGTTCTGACTAAGACTAAAACATAATTAGTCTTTATTCTCTTTTTTAATTTATGATTCATAAATCACTTTTTTATCCATTTCTTGTTGGTCACTTGATTTCAGCCATTTGACTGCATTCTTTTAGTCACTTTTTGTTAGTCATTTGATTTCAGCCATTGGAATGCATTCTTTTGCAGTACTTTGAATTTTTTCAGGTACCGAGAACGCGTTCCGGTTTTGGTTTATTTCTGCATGAAAACAAAACGTAATGTCAAAAAATGTGAACAAAACTTTAGAGAACCTTCTCAAGAGGAAGAGAATGAGAACGAAATAACCGAGAACATTTTGAAGGAGGATCAAATAAGAACAAAAGTCTGGGAAATGTTCTGCTAGAGAATAAAACGAGAACAAAAGTTTTGAGAACTTAATGTTAATGGAAGAATTATTGCAAAACAGATTTCGTAAATATGTATTATGATTTAGAAAATGCAAATGATGCTGTTATAGCAGCGGTACTTTGTCCAGACATGTTTAAATTCGTCGTTTGATACTTACAAAGTTAAGGAAGTCAATGATTTACTAAAAAATATCTTATTAGGGGAATTCGACTCTAATATCGAACTTAACAATAGTGAGTTTTTCGATTTTTCTTTGATCGGTAATGGCTAGTTAAAACCGTAAAAATAAGTAAGTAAATAAATTTCCTTCTCAGACCATTCCATTCCTCAGAGTATCACCAAATCTTCATCTGTCGAGCACGAGTTTTTGTCGTATATGGTAAACAAATCTATAGAAATTACTCTGCTTAAGCGGTACCCGATTATTAAAAGCNAGATTTAGAAAATGCAAATGATGCTGTTATAGCAGCGGTACCTTGCCCAGACATGTTTAAATTCGTCGTTTGATACTTACAAAGTTAAGGAAGTCAATGATTTACTAAAAAATATCTTATTAGAGGAATTCGACTCTAATATCGAACTTAACAATAGTGAGTTTTTCGATTTTTCTTTGATCAGTAATGACTAGTTAAAACCGTAAAAATAAGTAAGTAAATAAATTTCCTTCTCAGACCATTCCATTCCTCAGAGTATCACCAAATCTTCATCTGTCGGGCACGAGTTTTTGTCGTATATGGTAGACAAATCTATAGAAATTACTCTGCTTAAGCGGTACCCGATTATTAAAAGCGGCCGCAGTATAAAGACTTTTTTCGTTTGCTTCATTACTGAATACCCCACGCCGTAGAACGGTTTCTAACAATTTCGAAAAATTTCTGTTGCTGAAATGTTCTCATGCATTTTGTTATTTTTGCATTTACATAATATGTACAGATTATGTACATACAATAAATAAAAATTTATTTCATTGACAGTTACTTGAATTAATTTTCTAGATATTCTATATACTACTGGAGTTTTAATTAAGCTTTTTGTGTACTGATTTATTTTCTAAACAAATTAGTATTATAATTCACCTCAGACTGCAAACATGACTAATTAGTCATGAATAACAGAACAGACTAATGACTTCAACTTTGGAGTCTTTAGTCAAACATGTGACTAATTGGCTGCAGTTAAAAAGTGTTAGTCAGTGAATGTGACTGCAACGATTTAAAGTCACGAAGACTGCATTCTTTAACACCTCTGCCACAGGTTTCGAACCCGTGACCAACAAACAAAAACATATGTACTTGAGCTAGTTTTCAAACCTTTTGTTTTGTGTGTGACTCCAAAATNAACACCTCTGCCACAGGTTTCGAACCCGTGACCAACAAACAAAAACATTTGTACTTGAGCTAGTTTTCAAACCTTTTGTTTTGTGTGTGACTCCAAAATTACACATCACCCGCTCGCTTACCTTGCGATGTATCTTTTCGTTCAACCTTGGTTGTTACACTCTAAAGAATTTTTTTGATTTTTTTTTTTTGTGTGTAAAAATCCTTTTTGTTAGCGGCTTTACACAATTCTACGGGTGAAATCAAACTGCAGATATGTATTTTGGGTATAAGTGCAATATAGCGGCCGTTGAGATAAAACATTCTACTGATTTGAAAGGTGTAAACCATTTGCTGGAATTAATAGGGGCGGAGCGAGGGCGGGTAAAGGTGGAATTTTCAATATTTTCAAAAGCTTACATATATTTCTAAAGCTATTGCACCCATTTTGAAAATATGCTTGGGAAGGTAATTGATAGACCTTTTTTCGAGAAAAAAAAAGAAATTATAACTATTTTTTAATAAATGTGTACGTTTTTCTAAGAAAATATGTCATTAACTATATTAAGTGGTGTGTTTATTAGAAAGATCAAAGAAATACCTTTAAATTGATATATAATTTTATATAGTTAAGTTTAAGCACATCCGCTGACAGGGAAATAAACAAGTGCATAAATTTGTGCCTGTGACCATTTTTCATATAAAACGATATTTTTATTTAAAATTAAATGTTTGAATAAAAATCGTGTAATTACCATACAAAAAAATACAACTAAATAGAGCATACAAAAAATTCTGTTGATTGAGGCGCAACACAGAAAGGAGAATTATATACACATTTTTATATACAAGACATTTTTATAAAACACCCAGTAACCATAATAGACATCACTGGGGCGGCAGCCCCTGGTTTACCACACAGAAATGGAATTCTAGTTACCTCATCCTTTCCCAAGGCTACATCACTGGGGCGGTAACCCCAGTCGGTGCACACCAAAAGGAGAATTCAATTTGGTAAGGATTATAATCCTAAAGGCCGCCTACGCAGAAAGGAGTTCTACCCAAAAATACTGTGGACGCAAGTAAAAATCGTGATGATAAATCGTCTGGCAGCACCAACTTCGGTGTTCAGTTGCAACCCTCGCATGTTTACTACTTCACTACTTTTATAAATGTTTTATCGTGCAAAAACTATGGATTATTATTATGTATTTTCCAAACAAAAACATACATTTTTGTTAAAAAAATTACCATAATTGAAATTTTTTATAGGTTATTTATTTAAAAAGCACATATTCAAACCTACCCTTATGTTGTGGGGCTCATTATGAAATATAAGTTGGGTATTTTACTGTCCCTAATTTTCGAACATGTGGTAGCACCCTTCTGTTTGGGTAATACAGCCATTTTGAATTGTTTGCTTATTTTGTTGAAGAAAAGTAGTGAAATGGTTAAACGCGTTTTATATGGTTAAAAAATGAGTCAACCCTCCCATTTTCCCACTGGGTATTTATAGTTTCGTAAAGCGACATGCGACACATTAGTTGCGTTCCAGATGCTTGACGATTTGCAGGTTCTTACAAGAAGTCGTTCCAGGTGACCACCTTCCATAAGGTTTATTAATGGAGAAAACAGCTGTTCCTGCAAATCGTGAATAGCTTGAAGCATCTGGAACGTAACTATTACTTTCCAATGACATCGCTGTGGAGAAATTCTTGCATCTTTTCGTGCGTAGGTTATAGGGGCTATCCAAAACATTTTGCATTGCAGACATTACCTTTTCGCACTGGGTTTTATTTGTATGACGTGCATATGTATATGTATAGGTATCACTATGCTCCAAAACATCTTGCGTACATCTTCGATTACTAAATACTACTTACGAAAATGGCGAAAAGCTACAAGCGTTTGGTATACATATGTATCTACCGTAACCACCTGTAAGTTAACATTTAGTTTACTTACACATATACACCTGTGTCCGACATTTGCCCCGCTCGCAATGAAGTTCTTGCACCTTATTGCAACAAAGCGAACTAACGCATTTCAAGCTGTACTAGACATCAACGTAGTTTATAAGTTAGGCATTTAAAGTCTTTAGGCACGTTTGGAATTTGCTTTAAAATTTTGCTGTGTAAAACGCTCCTCAATTTGTCCCACGAAAATGTTATCCATTTCAGGTTTTAGATATAGGAAATGTACCCTCATCAGCTTCCTTTAAACTAAATATGACGACACACTTTCCAGTTACTTTTAACTTTTATACATTTTATCATATTAAGGTCTTTTATTTTCGTTTTATTAAATATTTTATGATGTTGCGATAAAGAATTTTATAAAAACAAAAATCAAAACAAATACGCGTCCGAATTTCGCGTTGCGCATTTTTTCGGAATTATGTACATGGTTGTATTTTGTTAATCGTAATAGATGCGTTCCTAGTATAGGGTGTATAAGCGGAAATTTTGTAATGAAAATAAAGGTGTAGTTGAAGTAGGCAAGAATAATTATTTCGTAAGCTCGCTATGCTCTTCATTGCAAGCGTGTGCGTGAACGTTTACAAAGGCAAGGGGTTGACTTTAGTGTACATCGACATTTCCCAAACATCCTACGGCTCGTATCGCTGGATTGTTAAATAAATGCTAACGATGACCAAATTGTAGTACAATTAACTTTATTGTACAACAAACAATTTACAATACTCGCTAATACAGTAAAAACACTTTACAATACTTGTTAAAGCAATAACAACGCTTTACTAACTTTACTTGTTAACACAATTAAACGTATAGCTTGCTTATTCGCAACTCACTTCTCTGCTCACTTTACTTGTAGCTTGCTGACTTGTAACTAACCCCCTCCGGTGTCTGGTGGCGCCCTTATTTACCTGCGCTCGCACTCATGGCAACTCTAGAACGTTCTGAAGTTCATCGCTCATTCTCTTTCTCTCGCTGTTCGCAGTGTTCATCCAACTTGACGTTTCTCTTTGTGGAACATTCTACGTCATTCCTCGAACATTCTGCCTATTTCTCGCATGAACCAAAAAGACAAGATCACGCGGGCAGGAGAGTAGCCCGTTAGAATCGCATTTAGGAAAAAAGTTGAACGATTTTGACATTAGCCGTTTGTTTACATTTCTTCGTTGTTTACAATTTTGTGGTGGCTTTTTACTGCAATTTTCTTCATTTTCGCTTGTGACAACGTGTGTACACATAAGATAAAGAATAATTTAACACAACGGCATGATTTATAGAAGAATTTGCATAATAAAAATGATTTTTCATGAGTTCAACAATTTCGCGGTTTTCTCCGTTCTCTTCGTTGTTTACTTCTTACAACAAAGATGGCGTCGAGATTTCGGCAGCTAGAAAATAACTTTTTTCGTTCTTTCCTTCCCGCGTGATCTTGTGTCTTTCGTTCATGTATTTCTTTCCTTCCCGCGTGATCTTGTGTCTTTCGTTCATGTATTTCTCGTTGTTCGCTTTGTGTTGCCGCAGTATTCGCCACAATATTACTTAAAAGAAAATGGTCATGTGCATTAAAAGTGCTTACATTTAAGTCACATTTATCTATTTCACGCACTTTTGGATGATAAAATCGATACAATTTACATCAACATATTTGGTGAATTTCGCAACTTTAACAAAAAAATTACTTAAAAACTATAAGTGCGCGCGGGTTGGGGTCTTCACTTTTAGAACCAAAGTGATACTGTTGCGAGTGATACTGTTAATGCAAATATATCTGATGAAAGTGTGAGGCCACACTCATGCATACTCTCGGAAATGGTACAAAAGTCATCAAATAAAAGCTGTGTTTTAGTCAACAGCTGTGGAGTTTATGGTAGTTGACTACCATCCACAAATATAAATATGCACTCTGCATGGCTTTTTACAATGGCGAGTCCAAAAATTCACTTTGCTGCACACCTTCCTTTTGGTCTACATGAAATTGCAAACACTGATAATACATACTTAAAGGGCTACATGTCCAAAATTATTGCTACGTATTCCTAATTAATCAATATTTGTATATTTAGTAATTCCTGCAAAATTGGGCCATGTAATATTAAAATTAACACATTTTTCTGCATTGTTTACATATTTTTATATGCGTTTTGGTATTTCTCGCTCGCAATTGCACCAAGATGACGTCGCGCAAAAATTACGCTAAAAAATCCTCTCTCATTGGCGCAATCTTGTATTCTATCATTCTTCACTACTAATTTTATTCGTTTTAATGAGAAATATTATTGGCAATTTTTTATAGTTTTTTTAGAGATCATTTAGAAGTCGCGACCTGTCGGTTTAGGTCAGAAAATAGGATTTTGTAGATTTACCAGTTTTTGAATGACTATTTTTGATTCGATTTTAAAGATCGAATATGATAAGAGAAGAGGATATATAGGCCTTTAAACTGGAATATAATAATATATTGTCGGACTAGGCTTGTTGGAATTTTTTATCGGGTAAATTCCAAAAAAGGAGGAGGTTATCAGTTCGCATTTTTTTATGTATGTTTCCGCATATCTTTGGACCACGTCAAACGATTTCGATAATTCTTTTTGCATCGGAAGGTAGGGTCTCAGAGGTGGGCTTACACTAATCTGGTTTAGATCCGATAAGTGGATCATGAAATATATATATATATATTTTTTTTAAGTCGGTTTTTTTTTTGCTAAAAATTAATAACTTTACCTAAATTGTACGTTTAAAGCAGTGTTAGCCAAAAAGAGAGAAGTCCTAAAATGAGAATGAATTAGTTATCTTGCACAAAAATGAGAATGTTTTGGTGGTAATGCACGGAAAATAATGTCGGTAATGTATTACTTTTTATAAAAACTTCGGTATGTTTTTTATCGTTTTTCCATTGGGCGAAATTTTTAGAGCTAAACAACATAGAAACATCAAACATAGTAAGAAAGTTTGGGTACAATTTTTTATGTTTTAATATTTTTGTTTTTTTGATCATTTAANCAAGAAAGTTAACGGCCCTAAAAACAAAAAATTGGGTACAATTTTTTATGTTTTAATATTTTTGTTTTTTTGATCATTTAAATGTGGATTTTTGAGCAAAAAAGCAGTCGACTTCGAACACTCTGAATATTAAAAGAAAATTTCGTTAATTTCAAGTAGGATTAGGTAAAACTTGACATTTAAGAACAATTTAAAATATCGATTAAACCAGGGGATAAATAAGAAAACATATTGTATGTTTTAATTGATGACTAGTCTGGTATCTAAAAAAAAAACATACATTATCAACATACTTTATCCAACAATAATGCGACATCAACTTGCTTCGGCTAATACGCTTTTCCATGGCCCCCCAATTACGTAGTTTGCTCTCATTCGTAATTCGCACTCTACCCCGATCTGAAAACGTTTAAAAACTGTCCAAAAAGACGTTTGTCTCGGAGTTCCCTCAGAAGTCTTCTCTGTATAATTTCTTCTTACTTCACAATAATAGTACATAATACTTATTTCCTCCATGAATAATATTCTGCAATGTATACGCAAATAATAACCCTTTACCACACCTATTTAGGCAAATAAAATGGTTTCATAGTTTTCATTTAGTAAAATTTTGAAACTTTTTTCTGCAAAATTAATAAAATTAAAAACATTAACATATGATTAAGCGATGTCACGTACTCAATAGGTCGTCACAAAAATAATAGCAATTGCCTCCGTTGGAGCTTTCAAATTGCCCTCTGCATACCTAAACGTGACAATTTATTATAAACATGACAATAGTTATAGCGGCGAGTTTTGTCATTACACGCGAATAGGGCTGTAAATCGTCGTCTTCGACTTTGGACCAAAATCGACGTTTTACTCCTGAAAGTCGAATTTTAGTGATCGACTTTTAGTTTATGGAAGTCGACTGAAGTCGACTTTTCACTTTCGACTTTTTTTAATTTAAGTGCAGTAGAGTCTCTTAAATTAAAACTGATCTTCTAACAATGGCGCGGAGTGCTGTTTGCTCGTGAAAAGCGTGGTAGAGAAATTAATTTTAATGACAGTACAACCGCATTGTCAAATCATTTAAAAGCATAAAATTATTATACGAAAACAAATTCCTCGAATTTGTTATACCGGGAACAGACATTTGGTATTTGCATTATGGTAAATTTATTGTGGTATTTAAAATACTACCACAGTGACAGACATTAACTTAGTATTTCAGAGTCAAATCATACGTTTCTGAAGAACAACGCATAAAAATAAAAATGCAAAAATATTGCAAAAATTGCTTATATATTGCATCAAAACTTGCGGTATAAACTTTTGGCTCAATCGCGCGAAAATTTCAATGATTTTTCGATAAATGAGCATGATGACTTCTGTCATTTTTGCGTATGTTTATTGCGATTCGCCCATTCACAATGATAATGCCCCAAAATTACTACCTCCGAATTTGTTCAAAAAATACAAGGTTCCCCACATAGTATTTTGAAGCATATTATAATATTTAGTAACAGACATTTGGTATTTGGGAAATGCTACGAAGAAATACCAGTTGTCTGTCTCCGGTATTAATCGTTTGTCTCCACAATCTTCAGTTAATAATGAGGTAATATACACAGGTATTTATTTTAATAATTTCATGAAAGAAAGTTTTTCTCCATGAGTTTACGTAAGTTTCTACAGACAGTCTTTGGTTCGAATTTTACCAATGCGTAAGGTGCAAAATTTTAAACACCGATCAAAATGTTGCTGGTAGAATTCCAGTTGATGTGCGATATTAGTCGTGTGGATAACCCCAATCCACTATCTGACTAGGCTAATTTAAAGGGAGAACATCCCATGTTTTTTAAAGTGGCACTTAAATCTCTGCTAATACTCGCCACCTCTGTTCCATCGGAAAGGCAATATTTTCAAAAAGTTGTCCGTAATTACCAAATATCGATTCAAGAAAGTAGAGAACACCTTTCTTCTTAGGCGGCCTTCGGCTGCACTTGGGGATTATAACCCTCACAAAGTAGAATTCTCTTTCTGTTTTGCGAAGAAAAGGAGCTGAACACCTTTTGCAGAGAAAACCTTTCTGCATCTCTTTCTCTTTCTGTTTTGCGAAGAAAAGGAGCTGAACACCTTTTGCAGAGAACACCTTTGTATATTTTTAATGCTTACTGGGTTATATCCTATCTTCTTTTGTCTCATTCTTTTGCATATTTTGGAGTTTGACAGCTGAACTCCGCCATTTAATTTGCATATGCAACCAAAGTCAGACGCGTGATGTTGAAGGTGTTTTATTTAATGAATTGTGATTAATTGGTTAATATTAAAGTCATAAAGAAAGTTATAACTAATCGAGTAAAGTGTAAAGTGAAGGGGAATATAAAAATATATTGGTGAAGTGGCTGCTTTAAGGAGAATAGGAGTTATAAATGTACGCTAATTTCCGAATTTTACAAAAAAGGGCATATTTCAAACCTAATTTGAAAATAAATTAGTGACCAAAAATTACAAAAGTGGGTGTTAAAATAATGTGTAGACCCTTGACTACAAGTGTGTGCAAATTTGTTTTGGATCGGGTCACCCCTTTGGACGCAATACCTCGAAATAGTTAGGCAAAGTACTAAAGAGTACCCCATCTTTTACTTTCATAATACGAACATCGGCTCTACCCTCGCTCTCGTGGCTTAAAATCTTTCAAAACAAATTTTAATTAACATTGGAAATTTTAAAATAATTGTAGAATGCATTATCTGTAAATTATACGTACAAAATAAAAATATTTTCTTGCGTCATAATAAGCATTCCGCACACAAATTATGCAAATACTGACGCGATAAATATTGAACACGTAGCATTCGTGCGCGATCCATCAGTCCATCAATAGNTGACGCGATAAATATTGAACACGTAGCATTCGTGCGCGATACATCAGTCCATCAATAGATCCAATACTTTTCGTGAAAAATCCTGTAAAACTGTCAAACAGCAAAATTACTCTCTGAAGTGAGAGTAAAAAGTGAGTAACTACAAAAANAGGGAGAACATCCCATGTTTTTTAAAGTGGCACTTAAATCTCTGCTAATACTCGCCACCTCTGTTCCATCGGAAAGGCAATATTTTCAAAAAGTTGTCCGTAATTACCAAATATCGATTCAAGAAAGTAGAGAACACCTTTCTTCTTAGGCGGCCTTCGGCTGCACTTGGGGATTATAACCCTCACAAAGTAGAATTCTCTTTCTGTTTTGCGAAGAAAAGGAGCTGAACACCTTTTGCAGAGAAAACCTTTCTGCATCTCTTTCTCTTTCTGTTTTGCGAAGAAAAGGAGCTGAACACCTTTTGCAGAGAACACCTTTGTATATTTTTAATGCTTACTGGGTTATATCCTATCTTCTTTTGTCTCATTCTTTTGCATATTTTGGAGTTTGACAGCTGAACTCCGCCATTTAATTTGCATATGCAACCAAAGTCAGACGCGTGATGTTGAAGGTGTTTTATTTAATGAATTGTGATTAATTGGTTAATATTAAAGTCATAAAGAAAGTTATAACTAATCGAGTAAAGTGTAAAGTGAAGGGGAATATAAAAATATATTGGTGAAGTGGCTGCTTTAAGGAGAATAGGAGTTATAAATGTACGCTAATTTCCGAATTTTACAAAAAAGGGCATATTTCAAACCTAATTTGAAAATAAATTAGTGACCAAAAATTACAAAAGTGGGTGTTAAAATAATGTGTAGACCCTTGACTACAAGTGTGTGCAAATTTGTTTTGGATCGGGTCACCCCTTTGGACGCAATACCTCGAAATAGTTAGGCAAAGTACTAAAGAGTACCCCATCTTTTACTTTCATAATACGAACATCGGCTCTACCCTCGCTCTCGTGGCTTAAAATCTTTCAAAACAAATTTTAATTAACATTGGAAATTTTAAAATAATTGTAGAATGCATTATCTGTAAATTATACGTACAAAATAAAAATATTTTCTTGCGTCATAATAAGCATTCCGCACACAAATTATGCAAATACTGACGCGATAAATATTGAACACGTAGCATTCGTGCGCGATACATCAGTCCATCAATAGATCCAATACTTTTCGTGAAAAATCCTGTAAAACTGTCAAACAGCAAAATTACTCTCTGAAGTGAGAGTAAAAAGTGAGTAACTACAAAAAATACGGGAACAAAAAGACCATTTTTCCTGTAAAAACGTCAACCAGTGATTGCTTGACACTTATCATGATTTTACCAGAAGAAAAAGTTCAGGTAAAATCTCGCAACTTCATTCTCTACACAACTATCCAAAAGTCGCTCTCATTTACAGGATTTTGGAGGGTTTCGGAGTNGTCCATCAATAGCTCTGATCCAATACTTTTCGTGAAAAATCCTGTAAAACTGTCAAACAGCAAAATTACTCTCTGAAGTGAGAGTAAAACGTGAGTAACAACNGTAAAATCTCGCAACTTCATTCTCTACACAACTATCCAAAAGTCGCTCTCATTTACAGGATTTTGGAGGGTTTCGGAGTACGGGACCATTTTTCCTGCAACTTCCTGCAAGTTCGTGTAAAATCCTGTAAGTTCATGGAGTACTGGATCAGAGCTAATATGGATCGCGATCCAAATATCGTGATAATTACTGACCGTGTGACAGAGCCCGATGGAGTAGAACCCGCTCAAAATATCGACTTTTTTCACTCTCTTGTTCTTGCGTGATCTTGTGTCCTTCGTTAACGGTTCTAGCTTCGTTCCCCACGCTTTCCGGGCTGCTCCGGTAATTAGAGAGTAAAAATAAGTTACTCTCTCACAAGTGTCAAAAATGTGCCAACAAGTGCCAAAAGTGCCCAGAGTGTGAGGAACGCAAAAAACCACATTTCGTGCCCGGAATCAACATGTCAGCTCTAAACAATGATTTTACGTGTATTTATCTTATATGGCTAATAAAATTACCAAATAACTACATTTTCTGAAAATTCTGTGATATTTTGCACTTTTGTTTTTTTAAAATTTGCTTTCGGATTTAAACAACAACAGCAGTTATTTCAAATTGCCCCTTTGCACATTTGTGCCCGGAAAAAAAGTCCGGGCTGTTTCGTGCACAAAGAAGAAGATATTTACGATCCAAAAGTGGAACGTATTCGCTCTCTATTACCCATTTTTCTAGCGTGAGGAACGCGTTCTGGGCTGCTTTGGGCACCCGTGGGTACCCGCGGGCTCGTGTGGAACAAACCTTCTATGTCCATGTAGAGTCGCAATTAATGGATAAAAACGTATTAACTGAAGTTGCACTTAAATACATCCCTGCTATTATTATCGTCGTGGATGAATCATCAGTGGCAAAAAATAAGATTTTTTCTACCAATCAGAAGGCACCAAGTCAGCGATTGAAGACAAAAGCACGGAGTTGTACCCAGAGCCATTCCTATAGAAATTACCAGTCCAAATTGAACACGACAGCGATTAAGTTAAAATAATGAAATTGGGCTACAGATACTGCGACATAATAATGTAAATAGCATAAGAAAATAGTAAGCAATGAACCAGAAGCTGACCCAACACAAAACGAAAAGAAATTGGATAAAGATAATTGTTGGAGACACGTCAGTCTTGAGCAATAACCGAAAGTGTAAACATGATTTAAAGTTAAAAAAAAAACATTTAGAAGAAGCTGTGTAATGCGACAATAGAAATATATCGTACATATACTTCGGATAAGGCCGTGCTAACATATTATTGATTGCGAACTTGTCAAACCTTAACGTTAAACGGAGGCAAACGGAATACACTATGGCAGCGACATCACCAGCAGTTTTTATAACTGTGCCTAAGTACGTGGCTTTAACACATAATCCAACTGTGACTTTGCCGAAGATAAGGCCCGCACCGACCACCACAGTACAGGGAACGCCCGATGGCGCAACTGCTGGAAATGTGGTGGTTGAGGATGGCGCCTCAGCACCAAGGGCCAAAAAACGTCGCTTGGACCACCTAACATGGGAAGAAAAAATACAGCGAAAGTAAGTTATTCTATTCTCAATCTTCTAGTACAAGTCACCTTTTATTTTTCGTTATTTACATAGAAAATTAAAGAACCGTGTCGCTGCACAAACATCACGCGACCGAAAAAAGGCTCGAATGGAGGATATGGAAAGAGAACTCGACGAGTTAACAGAAAAAACAGAGTTATTGCAAAATAAGTGTGAAAGTTTGCAGGCTATTAACGAATCACTTCTTGAGAAGAACCATAAGCTTGATATGGAGCTAGAACTTCTACGTCAACAACTTAACGAGATGCAACAGCAACAAAAGCAGCAACAGGTGCAAGTTGCCAGGAATGCCGCCAAATTGGAATCTAAAAATGCTGCTAGTACTTGTGCCGGCTGTGAGTCCATACTCAATGGATCTGCAGTATCCATATATACTGACCCTCTGCCGCAGGGATCACCTCAAATGGACTCACAGTCGACAGAAGAACAACTGAAAAAGAGCAACTCAGTAGCGTCACTCTGGAGGATTGTTGCGCTTTGCCTACTCTTCAAGATATGCTCCTCATCGACGAAGAATTCGATGCCAGGAAGCTTGAAGAGCTTGCCGAAAGCCTCTTGGCCGATATCACAGCAGACATGGAAGCTGGTGATGGAGCGGGCAATGAAAATGATGCCAAAATTGCAAGCTGCACAGAGCGACTGTCTGGACCAGTGGTGGGGACCAAAACAAAGTGCTTGGAATCCAGCCAACATACAAAAACACGAAGTAACAGCATAAATGACCCAGACTGGGTAGACCCCGTCCAAGCAGATACAATTAGATTACAAAATAATCTACATGCAGCGACACAACATCTAACCAACACTATCAACGCCCCTATAACTATTGCGTCAGCAGTAACGCCTATAAAACTCCATCAAGTTAAAGTGGAAGATTCTCCTCCATCACCGCTAGATACTGTGTACGGCACATATGACGCTAAGACAAATTCTATAACAATAGTAATGGATGACGACATCGTACCGGTGAACGAAGCAGTAGAAGAGATATACTGTGATGGTGTAACGCCATCAAAAAATGATGAAATAAAATATCCCTCACCTGCCGCTTCTCCCTCACATGTTTTCCTTAATGTCGTCGATGATTCTGACGATGATGACGACTTAATAGAACGTTTTCTGCGCCCCAAACGGCCACTAGCGAAATCTCCCGCACCATCACTACATTCGGCCGCATCAGATCATGGGTACGAATCAATTATTGGTTCACCAACATCTACAGCCACAGAGCACTTTGATACGGGTGCCGAAGATTTTGTCTGGCAGGGTAGTTTTAACGACTTATTTCCCAGTTTAATCTGAAAGGCATTAAAAAATATTTCCATTTGTTAGTGTTTCACCAATGCTCAGATATATTTGTATATTGTACAATAGTATGTAAATTATTCGCCATGTCACACAGATGCTGTAATATGCAATAGTTGTAGGTGTAGTTTTAGTCGTAAACTAAAAGGAAACCATATATGTTCTCATTTTATAATTTATAAATCGCAATAGGTTGCGTTTGTAGTTGTAAAGAGTTACAGTTCTAAGATTGACAATTTATTATGGAATTTATATCGCTGGTTTGTTAAGTTAATTTGCTAATTTATTTTGTAATCTAAGTGCATCTTTGAAATGGATGGAGCCCATTTGAAAAAAGCTTACAAATATACAATACATTATACCCAAGCCCAATGTATTAGTTTCATTTGATTGGCACAGTTGAAACTCGATCATCCGGGACTCCATAAGAGAATGTAGAATAAGGAAAAGAGGAGCATGGTTGTTACTGTTTTTGTAACAGCATACAAATTCTCCAGTTTTTGGGGACTAATTCTGGAGTGACAGTCAATGGCCAGATCTGGGTCGTTCCGGTTACATAGACCCGACTGTCATAAGAGCATGGCTTTTGTTGTTGCTGTAGCGGCTACTCAACCCTGCTTAGATCGGTTGTCCCTTAACCGTTGTCGCCAAGCTCAACAAACGGGAGACCAGGAAGCGTGCAGCTTCGAAAGGGTTTGTCCATAGGTGCAAAGATGTCAATTGAGTGGAGCTTAGGGGGAGCGGGCATGTCAAGAGATGCCCCGAGGCGTGGGGTGTCTCACCGCATGCCGGGCACATCTGTATCTAATCTGCTCAGGTAAGAGTTTAACCTGCCGCAGTAGCTAGGGCCCGAATCGCGGCATTCGATATCGAACGTAACTCGAATAGAAATTGCCACTTTGTCTCATTCGATTCGAAAAGAATCACTCTATCACGACTGCCACGAGAAACGACTGCCGTGCTGTTTTAGACACGACCAAAATCGCTTAGGCGGTTACAGTGCCAATAAAGGAGCCAATCCAAATATTCGACAACTTTATCCTCTCCTCTTAATTTTAATATACTTCTTGTATATTTTATTTGATATACTGCGGACATATATGTAGGTACTAGCTCTTACTGCCAATATAGGAGTATTACATATATCACTGCGGCATATTCTTGTTTTCGTACGAATCGAAAATCACGAAATTTTCCTATCATTCTCTACACAAGAATTTCAAATTTTCGATTCGCACGAAAACAAGAATACGCCTCACTACTGTCTATTTTTGCGAAAATCCGAACTAAAAACGTTAACGCTATTTATCGCACTTTTCTTTTTGAGTTATGAAGCTTTTCCAGTAAACTAGCGATATACATACATACAGAGCCTGTTCGAGGCACGCAATAAAAGCGGCATTACTGCCGTACTGATGAAAAATGGCAACATTGTTGCAACTGCCTAACTGATAACACTAGTTTACAAATTTTAAGTTTCAAACGAGTACCTCGATAAAAAAGTGTATTCTAGCACAATTTGGGGTCGCTGAAAACGAGAATGACACTCATTTATTTTTCTGAAGAAGCGTTTCCGCGATTTCCGCAAAAAACGTGTTTTTCGTGTCTTATTCCAGTTTTTCACCGAAATCTCCGAGGAAGTTAATGTTATGAAGCAATGATATACATTTTTAGAAAGGTACCTACCTCCTCTTTACAGCAATATGTCGTTATTAGTAATCTAGAGATTATTACTTCCATAACAGCCGTTCAAAGTTAAAAAATTGCCAGTTTTTGACATGAACGAAAGACACAAGATCACGCCTTAAGGAAAGAAAGAAAAAAGNCAGATTATTACTTCCATAACAGCCGTTCAAAGTTAAAAAAAATTGCCAGTTTTTGAGGTTTCTTTGGAAATTATTGAAATTTATCGACGTTTTACTATTGATTAAAAACTTTTTGTCCGATACATGAAATTTTTAGTTCAAAATAATTTTATAACAAACAAATAAATCTAAAGATTGTCTAAATCGGACGAAAAATGTTGAAGTTATAACGTATTTTGTAAAATGATGCATATTCAGCTTCTGACATTCAAATTTCCCTTTTTTACACCTACACAGAAATAAATTATGAAGCAGGGCTGGGGTTGAATACATATCCATGGAATGTTACNCGAGTTTTTGAGGTTTCTTTGGAAATTATTGAAATATATCGACGTTTTACTATTGATTAAAAAATTTTTTGTCCGATACATGAAATTTTTAGTTCAAAATAATTTTATAACAAACAAATAAATCGAAAGATTGTCTAAATCGGACGAAAAATGTTGAAGTTATAACGTATTTTGTAAAATTATGCATATTCAGCTTCTAAAATTCAATTTCCCTTTTTTACACCTGCACAGAAATAAATTATGAAGCAGGGCTGGGGTTGAATCCATATCCATGGAATGTTACCAAAATGGCAAAAAACACAAAGAAAAGTCTATTTTGTGTTAATTTATATGCTGAATCAAAGTAAACGTTGTACGGGGGAACAGAAATATCTCCAGTCGGTAAAATGCGTTACTGCTTGAGCGACATTGAACTTCCGCTATATTTTCCTGCCCCGTTAGGTAGTTGAAAAACGTCATCGGATTTCGTTTCGTACTTTTGTTGGACAGTTGTTCCTTTTGTGTTCTCTCGTATTTTAGAATGACGTTTTTGCTCTAAGGAAAAAGCCCAAAATGTGCAATCTCTCACCGGATAAGTTTTGCTTTATTTGTGGTTTGTACATATTCAAACAAAGTGCTCGGAAAAAAATAACCACAAACATTTTAACTGCTTATGAACAGTATTTTGGAATTCAAGCCAAGAATTCGGATAAACATTGGACTCCAAACTCTGTATGCACCACATGTTTTGTACGATTAAGCGCATTCAAGCGCGTAGGGTGTGNATAAATCTAAAGATTGTCTAAATCGGACGAAAAATGTTGAAGTTATAACGTATTTTGTAAAATGATGCATATTCAGCTTCTGACATTCAAATTTCCCTTTTTTACACCTACACAGAAATAAATTATGAAGCAGGGCTGGGGTTGAATACATATCCATGGAATGTTACCAAAATGGCAAAAAACACAAAGAAAAGTCTATTTTGTGTTAATTTATATGCTGAATCAAAGTAAACGTTGTACGGGGGAACAGAAATATCTCCAGTCGGTAAAATGCGTTACTGCTTGAGCGACATTGAACTTCCGCTATATTTTCCTGCCCCGTTAGGTAGTTGAAAAACGTCATCGGATTTCGTTTCGTACTTTTGTTGGACAGTTGTTCCTTTTGTGTTCTCTCGTATTTTAGAATGACGTTTTTGCTCTAAGGAAAAAGCCCAAAATGTGCAATCTCTCACCGGATAAGTTTTGCTTTATTTGTGGTTTGTACATATTCAAACAAAGTGCTCGGAAAAAAATAACCACAAACATTTTAACTGCTTATGAACAGTATTTTGGAATTCAAGCCAAGAATTCGGATAAACATTGGACTCCAAACTCTGTATGCACCACATGTTTTGTACGATTAAGCGCATTCAAGCGCGTAGGGTGTGAAGTATTTTTAGGTTAAATGTAAGTTTGTGAAATTCCATGCAATTTTCTTTTAGTGACTTATACCTAAATATCTTCAACGGTTATACCTTGCATGGAGTAAAATAATTATTTTAAGAAAAAACTATTTAATAATATTTTGTAAATTATTTTATTTATTACAGGTGCTCGAGTGTCTCTGAAAATGCACCTGCTCAATAGTCATTTGGACTTTTTTCCACCGAATTTGGGAGCTGAGAGCGACGGACAATGAGAAAGATTTCACCAGGACATTGCAACTATCAAGAAGCGGTATGAAGGTTTCTGCGATCAGGCCATGATGGGCGACTATTATTGGATGCAACTTCGAAAAGACAGCATGGAACACAAACGAAGAAGTTTGACAGAAAAATCATATTTTCGACCTGAAGTGTGAAAATGTTAAAAACCTCGAATTGCTTGTATTTACATTAAGCGTCATAACTTCTACATATCTTCTTCGATCGAAGCAATATTCAGCTTAAATTGTATGTGACAGAATTGTCTTCAAATTGTTATCATATATATCTGCATTAAACATTTTTTTCTTATGAAAAAGTCAATAAACCTCATTCATTTCCAAAACAGCTCAAAAACTTACCATTTTTTTAACTTTGAACGGCTGCTGTGAAAGTAATAACCACTAGATTACCAATAATGACATATTGCTAAAAAGTTATGTCATTGCTTCATAACATTAACTCACTCGGAGATTTTGGTGAAAAACTGGAATAAGACACGAAAAACAGGTTTTTTACGAAAATCGCAAAAACGCTTCTTGAGAAAAATAAACGTGTGTCTTTTTCGTTTTCAGCGACCCCAAATTAAGCTAGAAAGCACTTTTTATCGAGGTCCTTTTTTCGTGTAAACTAGTGTAATACATTGCCAGAAATTCACACAGAACGTGATACTTTAATAATTCGCGCAACACTGCGGTTGTGATTGCAACTCGAGTAAGCCCACATACATAAATATCTGTAATTTTAATAGAAATAAAAATAACTTTTTTATAAGTAAAAATATTGGTTTATATTATATACTAAATTTTGCAGACTTATAGAATTTAAGGGGGAAATCAAAACACATCAACACAAATCAAAATTTTTACAATAAACATTGTGGCATTGATCATTTGTCCACATACCAGACCTTTTATATTGCTAGCCAAAATCTAAAAGTTTTTAGTAATAATCTAGGTTATTCAATGGAAATATATACCTTGTGAGTATATACATACATATTTAGGTATGTATATATCTAAAGTTACTTTGCATTATCAATTCGTGCAAAGAATATGCATATGAACGCATATTAATTAAAGTTGTTAGTGCGCCTTGAAGTATGTACAGTTGTCCACAAAATAATAGGAGTGCGATATTTTGACCAGTTTTGGCTATTTGTCTTTTGTTTATTTAATGTTTATTATTTTTTTATAAAAGCCTAACTGGCTATACAACAAACACCATATAAATTCAGATTTTAAACTTTGTATAAAAATTATAAAAATTTTGCAATTTTTCACCCAAATTTCAAACTTTTTAATCAGAATCTTTAGAAAAAATTCTGGTATGCAGTTTTGTAGCACATTCAATTCTAGTCTGAAGAAGTGCAAGTTTCAAGCGGCTAAAAAATTCCGTTGATTTTTGGCAATTTTTTTGCTGGCAGTGTCCTCCATATAAAAGAAAATTGTCGACATACTTTGTATGGAAAAAACGTGAAACACCTTTAACCAAAAAAATTCTCAAAAATCAACGGAATTTTTTAGCCGCTTGAAACTTGCACTTCTAAAGATTCTGATTAAAAAGTTTGAAATTTGGGTGAAAATTTGCAAAATTTTTATAATTTTTATACAAAGTTTAAAATCTTAATTTATATGGTGTTTGTTGTATAGCCAGCTAGGCTTTTATAAAAAAATAATAAACATTAAATAAACAAAAGACAAATAGCCAAAACTGGTCAAAATATCGCACTTCTATTATTTTGTGGACAACTGTATAAGGGAATGAATGTTGAGCGATTTATAGTTTTATTTAAAAAATCTCCCCCTTCGCATTTTTTGACGTTCATATTCTCTGGTAATTGTGTATGTAAGTCATAATTATTTTATTAAACACTTAATTGTGTAAACATGTCTCCTAATGTCAAGCATATAAAAATATGAACTGTTTCATATAAAATTGCCCCTTTCACGATTATACTACTATTTTTTTTAATATATACATACGATAAATTTAGTCAAATAGAAGATAAAATCAATTTAAGAACTAGACATTATTCTTGATTTTTTCCAGAATAATGTAATGTTGTTTTGTTTACTATGTAGTATTATAATTACTTCCACACGTGATAAGGTCGACGAATGAACCAATTTAAAATAATTTAGATTCCTTAATTTTGTACTCATATAATTTCTATGCACTATAGATTTGTAAAATAAAAACCTGCTGGCCTATTTGCAATCTCATTGCACTTCTACATATGGATGTGTATGTATGCTGTTCAATAGACTTTTGGCAAGATATAATATCGCACTTTGTTACAGTAGCGCACCCATGATGAATGATAGCGTGACATGTTACGCACTTGCACACGTTGTGTGCGATGTAGCAATACGGTCCATAAGAGAAGTATACAAATCAGCGGTGGCCAAGCGAAGCGAAGAAACAGCGGCAAAGCAAGAGCGCACAGCGCAAGTAAATCTCCGGCGTAATTAGGTTGATGTATTCGGCCCCATAACGAGCCGAGCAATAGGCGACGTCCCTGGAAAGTGTGTATGGTCTCGACGCCGACAAAGTATGCATTTGAGGGATTTACGCGGTATTTGTATTTGATAGCGCTACTTATACGTTTAAGTAACAAACCAGTAATCAGAACTGCCACAGATACATAACCAGCAAAACAGCAAACTAGTGGTGTAGTCGATTGTCGATAACTGCTATGTTTTTGCTCGTAGAAGTAACGTGCTACCGCGGTCAGTAAGTAAGGTGTAGCTGCATAGCGCAATAGCAACAAAGCTCCGAATCCCTCTCCTTGCATTTCAAATGACGAAGCCAAATGGTGCTCAAAAATAATAGCATCCATTATATAGACTACAAGCATGCCCGAAGTAAGCAACGCTGCACTATCATACCGCACATTGTCATAATAATATAACAGAGTGTTCCAAATTCCACCTTCATTTACCGGTATCCAAGTCAGCGACAATTGTTTGTACAAATAACATTCGGCGTAAAGCAGAGTTGATAGTAATGCGACACGATAAAATACCAGTTTAAACTCAACCAAATTTAACCATTTGGGATTTAATTGCCTGCCTTGTGCATAATCAACTAGAAAGTTGCCAGTTTTACCGTAAATATTAAGCTGTGCTTGGGTCGATTTGCTTTTTAACATGTCTGATCGTAAGTAAGCCCATAATGATAAAATGAATGCATTAATAAATCCATATATACAAAATCGTAGTTGATGTTCTAGTACGAAGGTAGCCAATGGATAATTCAGATACTCTGCACAACCAGCTCCCAACGTAATTACGATTGCAATAGGCAAAACATTAAATTTATATTCAGCGCCATATTGTATACCACCAATACCGCTAATTCGATCAGTCGGTAGTCGAACATATCGACCAAATAACAATGCGGAGAGCACAAATACTCCTAGCTGAAAAAAGATATATGCAGCAACTGCTTCATTGTTGAATATCGATTTCCAGAGAGTGCTTTTTCCTGGCGAATCAAGTTCGAAATTGGGCCATCTCAACTCGCACACGTTTTTCTGACAACTCGATTGCAAATAATAAACAATACAGGGAACCAATAGCATTAGTAATGTCGTACCCGCCCAGCCCCCAAATTCTTTTGGTATCTCCAGTTGGCGACAATTTTGTCCCAGTGCTGAAGTCGAGTATGAGTGCTGGGTGCTTATATTGAAGCTTTTATAGTGTTCTGTACCTTCCTCTTCGTCATCTTCGTCCGCGGGATCATTTGGTTCGTTATCAGAAAATTCTGCCTTGGACGAGGCGCCATCATCAAAGATAGACCGCGATATAGAGCGACTATAACGACTTTCCACTTCAGTGTTTGTAGTCGGAGTGTGTGTGCCTTCGCGTCTAACACCTCCGATCGTTTTTGAAACAGATCGCCTTATATAATCTGACAACTTTTTGAACTCAGCGTCCAATGCTGAGGTATTCGAACGTATCTCAAAGGTCTTTTGGGTGCTACTGCTGCTAAAAGTGCTGTGCAATGAAGACGTCGACTTTGTTGTGAAACGCGGCGAACTTCTACCGGCTGAATTGACATTAGAACCAACAGCAGTGGGTATTCGGGTTTTGGATGCGGTCGTTTTTGGCGAAGGTGTCTAATGATATGTAAATTAGAATTTTATTTGAGTACATATTAAAATAGATTTATATTTTACAACTCACCTCTTTTACCTCTTTGATGGGAGAGGGATGGGATACGGGAGACGACCTAATCAAAATTGTTGTCGTAGACGGGGCTGATGCTAAATTTGACGCACGTGGCCGCGATGAGCGGCGTGTGCGCCCAGGTGAGGTTCGCCTCGGAGGAGAAACATTTGTTTTTGACGAACTTCTCTTGTTGGAAACATTGATATGCGTACTTGTAGTACTAACCTTTTCGGTAGAGGCTGCTCCCGGCTCTTCATTACGTTTTCGACGTCCGCTAGTGCGACGACCCTCCATTGCACTTGCTTTGTTTGTTTATATGTATTTGTCGTTGATATGTATAATCTTCTTTTAGCTCTATAACAAATGGGAATAGAAAACAAATAGATAATTACATATTTCTTATTCTGGCCGATTGTTTGGCCTCTGCAACGATTTTTCGCGCGCAACTCGGAGTCGACGTCGACGTTACTGTACATTTTGTTTTCGTTTGCATACACAAGCGGCACCCCCAAGTTTTTTTTACTCACTCGATGCCTCTTAAACACTCGAATTTCACTCACCAAATAACGTAATTTATTTGTTTTTTATAATTTTAGCCTCTGTACATTAATACTTTTTCAATAAACTAGATTTCCAATAATTTAGCCCAATTTTTACAAAGGAATTTTTGAACACGAGTGATGCCGCTCCGACTTTTATGAGAAATGAAATGTATAGACGCCGATAGGGAGAGGAAATAGCAGAGTGTTGCCAGAATTTGTGTATAGCGCATTCCCATATCGAGCCGCAGTTATCCCCAAAAAATCCCCATTTTTCTTCTAAATCCCCATTTAAATCCCCTTAAGTAAGAAATAAAAAAATATGTATTCTCATTTCTGTTACTTCGTTTTAATTACAGTTTTGAATACTTTTATATTACAAATTTTCACAGTTTTATATGTGTACATATATATTATGAGATCAGTTGGTTATTTACGTATAGCGGTTTCTTATTTTTTATGGTTTTTGGAGACTATTTAACAACAATAGTCAAAGCCAATAAAACAGGCATTTTCCACGAATAATACTTTGACAAAGAAAATCTTAAGGGCAGGCAGTAAAATATATGTATTTTAATTTCAATATGAATATTTTAAACCAAACAAAAATCCCCATCAAATCCCCACATCCCCACACGAAAAAATCTATCACCAAATGGTTTCAGAAATCCCCAAAATGGGGCGAAATCGCCACATCTGGCAACTCTGATAGCAAATGCTGCCACTGCTTATATAAATAACCAACCAAAATCTGAAGAAAAAACAACCAAATTGAAAAATAAAACAACCGAATTTGTTATTCACTTATCTTTTACAAAAATCAAAACTTATCACAAAAAAAAAAAAAATCAACAATTTGGGCGTGTGTGAATCGGTAACAAAGTTCTATGGGGAAAGCTGTTGGATAATATTTTTACTATGGTGCGACAGTTTTGCCAATCTGCTGTGTGAAATGAAATCTTTTTTGACAGCAGTAAATTTTTGCTAACCGCAGATTTATGAGGAATAAAATATTATATTTTGAATTGATATTAATATTTTAAGAAAACATCTACCATCGTTGATTGCAATTCAATAATTTAAGCTTTTATTTAACGAAAAATTACTCACATCAACAATCTTTGCGATTGTCAAAATTTTCTATGCATTTGTCAAAAATTTCACCTCATAGTTGTCAAGAATTTACTCGCCGCGAACTTTGTTACCGATTCACACAAGCTCTTTGAGGCCAGGTTTTTTAAATGAAATTTTTTTGTGAAGAATAAATGTGGTAATTTCTAGTTAAAAAAAAAAACAACCACACCAGAGAAAAAACTACCAAACAACCAAGTTAGAAAAATTAAAGAAAACCAACCAAGTTTGGTTGAAGACAACCAACAGTGGCAACCGTGAAAAAGAGCACTGCGCAGTGCTGCCAGCTCCCTTGAAGTGCCACACTGAGGATAAAATAGGCCAAAATGTGCCAAAAAGATAAATAAAAGTGCCATAAAAGGTGCCACTCTTTTTAATTCTTCCCATTTAGCATTCAAATAAGAAACACATTCTTAAAACAAAAGTCCTTAGCCAAAGTAAGATAAACGAGTTGTGTACACTATAGAAATTAGAAAATTTAAGTTGAGGAAAAGAAGTTCACGCAAAGGATTTAACAAAAATGAATTGAAATATTACAAAAGTGGAGGAAACTTCGCAAGAGTGCGAGAAGGGGGGAGGGGGCGTAGAGGGGGTCGTACACATCACAAAACTGAAAACCAGACGGCGAGGAAATTCATAGTTTACGAGTAATTTGTTGTTAAAGTTGAAAATTTCACCTAACAAAATGTACGATAACAAACCATTTCAAACAAATACAAGTGTGCGTTGTGAGCGTTTTTCTTTATTTCTTTTTTTATGACCAGGAATACCTTTATAAATTTGTTTACTTTCCTTTAGAGAACCGAATTAGTATGTATGAATGCATATATGGACAATGACCGAAACGAAGATGGCCGCACATGTGAGTAACGTGTTGCCAGAATACGTTTCGAAATGTGTTGCCAGATGTTCGTAGCGTAAGAATATTATAAAAACGAATATAAGAAGTTATATTATTTTATAAGTTTAATAGCAATTATGAGTATTATACTATGTCTCCATTGAGAGATTTATTCATTAATATTTAATAAATCCAGTTGCTAAATCACAACCGTCTCCATTACCATTACGAGATATGTTTGACGTTCACATTTTTAAATTTTTGACATTTGCTTATGTATGATTTTACAAATACAGTTGCGGACATTGATATACAGACAGAAAAAAGGAAGGTACCAAGCGGAATTTCATTATATGAATTCTGAATATTATTGGCTTCTTATTCGTGGTAAATATGTATGTATAATATATAGTTTGGAAAGTGTAAAGAATGGTACCATATTCCGAATCATTTTCCCGAATTTAAGAAAAATTATCAAAACGGTAAAAAACATTTGCGGAAAGAAAAATTTTTGTAGAACTCTCTTATTCATAGGAGGGAACCGAAAATCCAATCGTGGGCCATTGGCATATCATGAATACGAACTGAGTTCTAGAGGATGTTCGGTGCAATGTTATCGAAGCAGAACCATTACCGAAATTTATAATTTTTTTGTCGCAGCGCGTAAATCACTTATAGAATGCGGAGAATACTCTGCATGATATTACTATAAAACATTTCTTCTAAATTTTTAGTTTTTAAAATAATATTTTCTCAATTTATTACAACCAAAGCTATGTAAATATTTATTACTAATTTTCCTCCCAAACTAACAAAAAAATATAAAAATCCCTAAAAATACGAAAATTCATGTTTTTATGATAGGCTAGATTTCAATGTCCTCAACTGTATATGAAAACACAAATGTCATTTGACTTATGGCATGTGAATTTGTGGTTGCCACATCCAACAAATTGTACTTATTGATCAATATTATTGAAGATTTGACGAAGATTTAACTTAAATCTACTGCCTTTCGAGATTTAATTTTATATGATAAATCTCAAAAGATTTAACGTCAAATCTCGTCAGAGGGCTGAATCTTCATTAAATCTCACAATGGAGACATAGTATTAATGCAAAAATGGAGTTGCATTTAGTTGCATTTAAGCAGTGTTTGCATTATTCAACAACAATGTTGGCTGGCGACCAACTTTGTTGAAAGCGATTAGTGGAAAGGCCATTCAACCAAAAGTTGAATGCAAAGTTGAACAATGCAAACACCTTTTTATGGCGAATATTTTGATATTTTTTCATATTTTGATATTTTTAGCCATTCAACTTTTTTTTCGTGCAACCCTGCGCCGAGTTGAACGCAAAGTTGAACAATGCAAATACACTTTTAGGTGTCGAATTTTGTATGGATAAATGTACATTTAGAGTAGCATTTAGAGCTAAATGCGCTAAATGTGCTTTTGCGCGTAAGCAAAAACAGCCCATTACGCTCTGACATTTTGACACTTTTCAGATTTTAGTCCAAAGAGATAAGGAATGAACCTATTATGAATAGATATTCGGTATTTCTGGCAGCTTGATTGAACTGTCAGATAAACTGCATTTCGTAAGTGAATAAACTCTAGGTTGCAATACAGAATTAAAAAAAGAGGAAAATTGCGGAATTGTTTTCCTCATACTTTTTCTTCTACTCAGATTTTAAAGTAAGCAGAAAAAACTACATTTTTGAAAACTTGAACTTTTTATTATTTGTTTCAATAGCATATACAAAATTGTACGTTATCCGTCAAACTAAAAATTTCTTTTGTTTTTCCAAACTTTCTTGATTTTACTTCCTGTCCGCCTGTACGTGCCTTTGTAAAATTCAGTAATACCGCTCTGAAAAATTCCAACGGAACATAAGTGAAGAATTGTGTAAAGTGCAGGGCCGACTGAAAATTGTGATATAATCTTGGAGAAATTTGTACGAAGTTTTGTTCGCATAATTTGTACAAAGTTTTGTTCGTATCATTGGCCGTCAGGCAGGAAGTCGAGCCTGCCAAGAACAGAAATAGACTCTAGGGTCAGTTGTCTACAATGGCTACACCTCAATCTCCCACCCGTATGTTCAATGGCCTGGATGAAGATATATATAATGAAGCCAAATTTGCACATGAAATAAACGACAAGATGCGTGTTCCCAAGCGCATAAAAGCTACAGGAGAATTCTCTGACGAAGATTTATTGCTATCCAATCAAAATGGATTGATAAATTCGTGGAATTACCACGATAAGATAGACATGAACGTACCAGATCGCATAGTGGTATTGGGTCACAATCAACATCTAGAGACTCGTTCGGCACCACGTGAAATACAACTGGAAAACTCAATTTTACCAAAGAATCCGACAGTAAGCATGGTACGTGTACAAACACCACCGCGTGTTATAACACTCAATGAACATCACTTCCCCTCTGCTTCTGAGGAAAGTTCGCCTCATCGTTACGGTAATGGTGCCGATTTTGAAGATGGCGACTATGATGAAGACGTTGAGTCACGTCCGCCACCTTATGTGCGTGCAAACGGTGTATCGCATGCACAACTCGGTTTTCACCCAGCCGATTCAAATTCTGTGGAATCGGACTCGCAGGTAAGTAAACTTCAATCAAAGTTTTGTTCAAATTTGATATATTGTCAGTTGCTATAAAATATATTTTGCTAACACTTTAAATCTCCCTATTGCGGTTAATTTAAAAAGCGTAATCACATGCCGAACAGCTTGAAAGTTATCGCTTTAAAAGATTTGCTGGTGCTTTAAACCACACATTAAAAGAAAATGCTTTAACTAATTCTTTTCTGTTGCAGTTGACTACTGGCGTTCGCAAGCGTTCGCAGCAGCTAGTTTACAACAACAATGACACATCTATTGTAAGTCATCGCGAAGGCACGCCAATAGGAGAACTTACACCCCACGAGGAGATTCTCTATTTGCGCCGACAATTGGCTAAACTAAATCGTCGCGTGCTGAACATCGAAATCAACAATGAGCAGCGTCTACAGCGCGAAAAAATCGTATATTGTTTGGGCTTAGCATACTTTGTATTGAAGGCTGTCTTTTGGCTAAATCGTAATTGAAGCTTATGCAATATTTAAACGCAACAGAAGTAAGTGCAGCAGCGACACATCAGTTTGCTATGCATTTTCGTAGTATTTTGAAAATCGTTACAATTTATTAGGGATTGATGGAGGATGTAAACTACGACACATCTTATTGGGAGGGAACGTAGCGCAAATGATGCACTTATTTATACCTACCCTGAGTTCCAAAATGTAAAAAAAAAATATATAGCATCAGTTTATTGTATTCAAAAATTCTTGCAGATTAAAATGACCAGCTTGCACAACCTTGTAACTAGCATTGCGGGCTGGTTGTGAATATTATTGGTCAGTCCCATCTGCTGTGGTTTAGAAATGAAAGACTTGCGCTGTATTTTTACATTTTGAAATTCAGGAGTACATAAAAACGTTGATCATCCTGTTTTGGTATTGATACCAATGGAGAAAGTGTGCATTTGAATTTAATCTAATTGTCTTTGAACACTATGATTTTTATTAGTCTAAAAATTATGCCGATACTCTCATTTTTATAAGCATATATCGAAATAAAAGGAAAGTGACCAGTGTGACAACTATTTGATTGTTTCATAGAGAAAACAATTTGGATATTAAGGATTTAGCACTTTAGTTACTTTTAACTTTTTCGATGTATGCTTATGCGATGGAGAAAGTGTGTATTTGAATTTAATCTAATTGTCTTTGAACACTTTGATTTTTATTAGTCTAAAAATTATGCCGATACTCTCATTTTTATAAGCATATATCGAAATAAAAAGAAAGTGACCAGTGTGACGACTATTTGATTGTTTCATAGAGAACACAATTTGGATATTAAGGATTTAGCACTTTAGTTACTTTTAACTTTTTTTCGATGCATGCCTATATTTTAATACATTTGAAAGATTTTTAACACCAATAGTAGAATTTAAAAAACTATTTAACGTGATTTATTTCTGACTTGTTTTGCTATGTTACGCAAATACGGGTTTTAACTGAAATAGCGTTTACATTTGTAAGTCTATTTTTAGTTCTAAAGGATCCTTTCTATTTTATTGCCATATAATTGTTAAATATGTTAAAATGAGAGAATATACGAACTATTTACATACATACATAGTTAGAAAAATACGCTAAACGTTGTCCATATTAAATTATTTATAAATAAATTTTCGGATATTCTTTGAAACAACTTTGGCTTTGCGATAAAAAAGGCTTGCGCCCGTATTCAATTTCATACCAAATTTATAATCAATAGTTACCTTACAATATCAATAGTTACTTTAATTTGAAACGTTCTTAGTTACGTATGTATCAATTTTGAATTTTTTATATACGATTCATTGTCTTGTGTTTTATCTTAGAACCTTAGACTCATAAATCTCTCAAGAGCTAACTAAAGTGTGACAAAGATTTAAATAAAATGAAAATTAAAAGGAAGCTGCAACTCAGTTACATTATTTTGATCATATTTCACCTGCTAAGCTAAAGAATTCCCATTNTTTTCATTATCCTTTCTATTTTATTGCCATATAATTGTTAAATATGTTAAAATGAGAGAATATACGAACTATTTACATACATACATAGTTAGAAAAATACGCTAAACGTTGTCCATATTAAATTATTTATAAATAAATTTTCGGATATTCTTTGAAACAACTTTGGCTTTGCGATAAAAAAGGCTTGCGCCCGTATTCAATTTCATACCAAATTTATAATCAATAGTTACTTTACAATATCAATAGTTACTTTAATTTGAAACGTTCTTAGTTACGTATATATAAATTTTGAATTTTTTATATACGATTCATTGTCTTGTGTTTTATCTTAGAACCTTAGACTCATAAATCTCTCAAGAGCTAACTAAAGTGTGACAAAGATTTAAATAAAATGAAAATTAAAAGGAAGCTGCAACTCAGTTACATTATTTTGATCATATTTCACCTGCTAAGCTAAAGAATTCCCATTTAAATAACTAAACAAAAAATGTTTGCGGGATGTGTATCCTGCAGCCAGAGTATTGGTGTTCTAATGACCACAGAAGTGGCCACCCAAACAAACAACTCCTTGCTGAAGATCCTTCGCCCAGGCACGTCAGTAGGCATCTCTACGCGGACGAAGTCCAGAGGCTCATCAAACACCCTCTGGACCCGACAGCTTATCGACAAGCCTTGAACGGCATTCATAGAGAGGCAGTCTCGAGTTATGTAGACTATCGACCTGTGAATACCTTTTTGGGCACCACAACCCCCAGACGTGGACGAGACAGAACTTCGTCTCAATAGCCCAACTGCGCTCTGGTTAATGCAGCAGGTTGAACTCATACCCGAGCAGATTAAACGAAGATATTCTCAATGAATGCTCGGCATGCGGAGTCGCCCCATGACTCACAGCATCTCTCCGTATGCCCTCTAAATCCCACCCCGCTAACGCCCCTGTCCCTATGGACAGACCCCGTCGAGGCTGCACGATTCCTAGAGCTGCCGTTAGTAAATCTCGACGAAAACGATTGAGGGACTAACCGATCTGGGCTCGGTTGTTGTAGCCGCTACAAAAAAAAACAACATGAAAAATTCATATGTACATCGGTTCCTACTTCAAACAAGATGAGCTTGGGAAACGAAGATAAAATTTGGTAGTGTCCCCCACTTAACTGATAATGAACAAGTAATTTTTAGCAAAAAAAAACCGACTTCAACTCTCATATTAAAAAAAATATATATATATATATCTCATGATCCACTGATCGGATCTTAATCAAATTAGTATGGGACCACCTCTGAGACACTACCTTTCCGATGCAAAAAGAATTATCGCAATCGGTTGACGTGGTCCAAAGTTATGCGGTAACATACATAAAAAAAAAAAAAAAAAAAATATTCCGACGAACTGATAACCTCCTCCTTTTTTGGAAGTCGGTTAAAAATATACGTATTTATCTGTTTTTTGGGAAAACAAATCGAGCACTAACCGCCAACCAGATGTAAGTGAATATTTTTTTTTTACATTTTATTATCGATGCAAAATTGTTCCCAGAGCATATAAATAAAATGTTGAAAAACATTTCGCTTATATCTCTTTGGCGGTTAGCCCTCGAAATTTATCGGAGCTATCCCGATTGAATTACTTTTTTTTTACTAAGTTATTAGTTAAAAAAAGCTTATAAAAAGGGAAGTCCATAAATAACGTTGTTGATAAATTTTGCTTATACTAACCTTTCGAAGTCATCGATGCCTCTACTATCATAAAAATTAAAATTTCAATTTACATGCATTTTTATTTAATAGCATATTAAAACTACATAATTTTCCCATAATTTACCCATTCCATTTACTCCTAAAATTGGTTAAATTTTCCTTAGCTTGAGAGTAAACGATACTTGAAGAAATTATCCCCAGTTACTCGTAGTCTTCATCTTCTGAATCCGTTTCGGAATCATCATCATCAACCTCATTCTCTTCATCAGCTTCTACTTCTGACCAGCGTTGTTTTCTGCTTGTGGAAACCTTGGATACAAAGTTTCTATCGTTTTCTTGAATTAGCTGCATTCGTCGAATATCGCGCTTATTAACCGTCACTTTAATTGGCCTAGAACCAAAGCTGAAAATTCCACCACGTCGCTCAATAACTGGCAACGATTCAATGTCGACACTCATTACGACATGCCGTTCCTTATTTATACGACTAGGTGCACCGACATTTATTATGCTCCATTTGTTTGTTCGCAAATTTGGATTAAACTTTTGAATGCAGTCCAAAATTGCTTGGGAAGATGAGGGCTCGGCCGGCAGAAAAGTTGTGCATCGCAACCTTAAAGCGGATGTGGAAATCTCATTTCGATTGACAATCCTTAGTTTGGCCCCTGGCCATACTGCACCCAACCGACTTATTGCTAACTTGTAAAGTCTTTGCGATCTTTCATCGGCACAACCAATAACCTTTGCACAACCTAAAAACATACCAACAACGCGACAGACTGGAGGCGGGCCAGGATTCTCATGCATTATATCCAGGTAAACCTTGCAAAGTGCGCTTTCAACTTCCAACCAATTTTTTTGGCCTAAACGTCGGCGATTGGGACCTTCATCGACTATAGTCAAAGTTAAGTTCGATTCCATCGTATTTGAAGAATCTAAAGCGTTCGCTTTTTGTTTGCTTTTCCAAGAAGATTTAACATTTTCCAAAGTTCTTTTTTCTTGTGGCGGTTGTTGCTTATATGCGATGCCATCAGTATTGCGGTTGAATGAGAAGGAGGGCGGCGACGTAGACGGTGGACAAATTATTGATTTCGGTTGCCCCCGTTCAGAAAAAAAGTTATCATTTTCAACATTTTGGGTATCATTTTCTCGAAATCTATCTGCAAGACTGTCGGGCTCAAATGAAAAAATTGGCGGAGGTGGCGGATTGTCCATTAATAATATTTGTCTTGGTCTTTCAACTTTTGGAGGGCGGTTTTTAACTTGTGAAACATCTGCTGGAAATGAGATAACAGGTGGAGGAGGAGTCAAAGGACGTTCCTCAAACCTTGCAGTGGTGCGATTACTGCTTTGTGCAAAAAATTGTTGTGATGATCTAACGTGGTGACGTTCTCTGTTATACGTCCAATTGTCCGAGTTACTTTCATCACTTGAGTCATTGCATAAATCAATTTCTATTATACTTTTTTGGTTATCCGAGGCATAGTTTTTACGATTCATATTTCATCTTTTTCGTACGACCTTCTACTCCGGCGGGGCGTTTCGTCGGTCTATTTGTTAAAAATGGGGACAATTAGGTCACCCAAGACAGAGCCCCTTGCCGAGGGAAGTCCACAGTTACTCCCGAAGGCGGACAGGTATCCGAGAGGCGCCGTTCGAATACAGCCTACTTTTAACCCCTTGGCTGCAAAACATACCCAATAGGCACGGTGACGCTTGACACCCTGGGTTAAGGGGCGGTAGCTCTTAGTTTGTGCGCGATGACTGATCCAACTGTAACATCTATGCATTCGCGCAACTAAGCCTCCGCACCGCGGCAAGGTGGCTACCGATCGCGGAGGATGAAGCATGACTCTATTTATGTCGCGATTACGACAAAAACATCTCAAACGGACATTTGGATAGAACTCCACGATAAATAGAATAGAAAATTCTTTCAGAGGCTCACTTTATGCTGGCTTTTGCAAAACCGCCCATCGGCCAGTTGCAAAACCGCCTAAATCGCCGTTGTGGCAAAAATGAGATTTGGTAACCCTGAACTCCAGGCATCGAGATTTATGCATAAAAATCGTTAAATCGTTATTAAAACAACAGATTTGTAAAATAATAGCAAGATAAAATACCGCCTATCAAGGCTATGCCTTCAAAGAATAAACCGTTTTTTCGCTCCTGTAAAATTTGAGTGCCGTAAGATACGCGGTTTCGCAATTGGGCGATGAGCGGTTTTGCAAAAACATCGACGATATGCATTTGTAACATCACGATATGTAATATAAAAATACCAATTTTCATATTGAAACCAACGCTTTATTTTGACTAAAATTTGCTTTTAATAGAGGTCCTTGTATTCGTACACTCATCTTGATCTACATACATATATCTCTAGGAAAGTTAAGTATGGTAAAATTACACTCTTGGCACAAGATATAAATTGATACATATGAATTGTGAATTTAAGATGCTTGTTCCGTAATAAAACCCAATATTTCCATTTTATGAGTTTTAGGTGCAATTATAGTTCTACATATTCAGATTAGTGTAATAAGTTTATAAATGGAAAAAAAAAAATGCAATTAACTCTGACCGATTTTTGAAAATTTGTTTCAAACCGAAAGGATCATTTATTCCACTCAATCCCTACTTTCCAATGAGTAAATAGAACATCAAAGGTGATTTTAATTTTTATCTTTTTTTTGCTTGTTTGAAACCATTTATATGACCAAATCAATGCTTTTTCTCAATTATCTTTTCAGACAGGTTCTACAATACACATCCGAGTGAGAACCTGCCTGATTGCGTTTTGCAATAGAACAATTAAAATATTGTACAACCACTTTAAAGAGCAAATACCCTGAGTTATCAGTATGCATTTTGTACTACTAAATGTTTAGATCTTTGCATTGACGTCGATACATTAGTTATGTATATGAACTAATCTTAGCCTTTTTTGGGTAGATTATGGGTGGCAACGCAGCCTCAGTTGAGTTGACAATGGGCATCGCCACTGAAATGAAAATTTACGGGTCAGGTCGTTTTGTTCCGGTTGTAACCACATCGCAGTGTTGCGTGGATTATAAAAAGTATGATGTACGGTGTGAATTTCAAGTAACATTTTATCAGTTGTGAAGTTGCAACAGTATCCCAGTTTCATCAGTGCTGCAGTNTCTGAAATGAAAATTTACGGGTCAGGTCGTTTTGTTCCGGTTGTAACCACGTGTTGCGTGGATTATAAAAAGTATGATGTACGGTGTGAATTTCAAGTAACATTTTATCAGTTGTGAAGTTGCAACAGTATCCCAGTTTCATCAGTGCTGCAGTATTGCCGCTTTTATTACGTGCCTAGTGTAGGGTATTTTACCTATATGTTTTTATACTTGTTTAAATTCTTTATGCTCAATGGATTTATTTGTTATCAAAAAGAAAATTTTTGATTATTCAATAACATGATTCAATAAAACAGGTAGAAGCCAATTTGACGTCAAACCTACAAAAGTCGAAAGTTTTCGGGAGAGTAAAAAAAAANATTTATGTTCAATGGATTTATTTGTTATCAAAAAGAAAATTTTTGATTATTCAATAACATGATTCAATAAAACAGGTAGAAGCCAATTTGACGTCAAACCTACAAAAGTCGAAAGTTTTCGGGAGAGTAAAAAAAAAGAGCGTGTGTAAGGAAAAATAAAAAAATTAAATTTTACTGGTTGACGTTTTTAAGTAATTTTGAAGTTTATTTTTATTTATTTATTTTCCTTAGTTAAAATTTGTTACTTGTATGTTGTTTTCTGTTTTCATTTATGAGTTGCAGTGTTGTTGGAGGGACTTTTCGGCATAAGGGTCATAGGAACAACACTTGGCATAAAACGTGCCTTTCCTTTACCTCCCGATGTATTTGTGAAATCTGCTCCTTTAAAATGTTTAACGCACAGCAAGGCATTTCGCTGAAGCTCTGCCCCACAGCTGCTTTCGCAAAGCTCCATACGCGAAGGACATTGAATCACGTTAAAAAAATTAGTTGTATATGCCTTATATTTAACACCACATCAAAAATAACGCTTCAGGTGTTGCAGTTTTAACACATACACTAAGTATAAACCGCACAACACTACAAAAATTCAAATGTTAACAAATTTTAATTAACATTTGAATTTTTGTAGTGTTGTGCAGTTTATACTTAATGTATGTGTTAAAAATGCAACACCGAAGCGTTGTTTTTTATGTGGTGTTAAATATGAAGCAGATACCATTTAACTCAATGTCCTTCGCCTAAAGAGCGTTGCGAAAGCAGCTGTGGGCCAGAGCTGCAGCGAAATGCTTTGCTGTGCGTTAAACATTTTAAAGCAGCAGATTTCATAAATGCACCGGGAGGTACAGGAAAGGCACGTTTGATGCCAAGTGCTGTTCCTATGACCCTTATGCCGGAAAGTCCCTCCAACAACACTGCAACTCATAAATTAAAAACATAAAACAACATACAAATTAACAAATTTTAACTAAAAAAATAAATAAATAGAAACAAAACTTCAAATTTCCTCAAAAAAGTCAACCAGCGAAATGTACTTTTTTATTTTTCCTTACACACGCTCATTTTTATTTTTACTCTCCCGAAAACTTTGACTTTTGTAGGTTTGATGTCAATTTGGCTTCTACCTGTTTTTATTGTACCATGCCTATATTCAATAACAAACTTTCAAACAAGAAATAAATATTTTTAAATTGAACAATATATCATACGATATAGTGGCGATCCTGCAATTGAACAATTATCATACGATATACCTAGAACCTGGCCATTTAATTCTAAATTATAATTGATGAGCATGCAAAAACATGGACTCGAATCGTCACATACGATATCGTATTACTCGTTATGTAAAAACATATTTTGGATTATGACATACGTGAACGTGTAAGTACTCTTTATCCCATCTAGCTTGAACCATAATAAAAATATAGTAAGGTAGAACCGCTGAGAGTTACTTTTAAAATTCTTGACGTTTCCAAACATTTTAATTTTTAAATTCACTCACAAACTCACACACACATTTTCATTTTCAATCTCAAGCAACAACAATTTCGAACAATTTCAATTTTATATGATTTTAAAATGCTGGCAAACTTAAAAAAAAAATCATGGCCGACAAATTGAGAGAACGGTTCTACCTTGCTATGTTTTTATCATGGCTTGAACCACTGACGTATCACGTAAATTTCTTTCGTATGGTTTTCGATCCGTGAACGGACGTTATGATTCGACCCATGATTAAATGCTGGGCTCGAATCGTCACATACGATATCGTATTACTCGTCACGTAAAAACGCCGTTTTCGGATTATGACATACGTGAGCGTACTCTTTATCCCATTCAGCTTCTAGGACTGACGGTATCACGTAATTTTCTTTCGTATGGTTTTCGATCCGTAAACGGATGTTACGATGCGAGCCCTGATTTTACGTGACGAGTAGTACGATATCGTATGGATTCGAGCCCAGGGCTCCAATCGTCACATACGATATCATACTACTCCTCACGTAAAAACACATTTTTCGGATTATGACATACGTGAACGTACTCTTTGTCCCATTTAGTTTATACTGCCTGACGTATCACGTAGTTTTCTTTCGTATCGTTTTCGATCCGTGGACGGATGTTACGATTTGAGCCCAGAATTGGAGCTAAGTTGCTAGAATAAGGCATTTATATAAACTAGTTTGTGAATAGAGGAATTCTTCGCAGTAATACTGTGGGTCGCATTT